AGTCATTCAAATCCAGTTAGCAAGCTAGGTCTCTTCTATTAACTGGATTAGTTACCTGCAGAAGAGGAAATGGCTTACTTTAAAACTGATGTCTGTGTGGTAGCTCTTCTAATCAAATCCACCAGAGGCTCCCTAGAGCATCCCTATTTGCCACAGACCCTTCAAATATTTCATTCTTCTGAGTTATAAGGTCCTTCTGCAGATTCTTTGTCTTTCATTCTCAAGATGTGCTGCGTATTGCTTCCACAGAGATCTAACAAGTATACTGTCTCTTTTGTTAGTAGTAGGTGCTTTAGTCCTTAAAAAAAAAAAACCTTCCTTTTGATTGATTTGTTTTATATGCATGAGTGTCTTGCCTGCATGGATTAAGTGCACCCATATCATGCAATGCCTGTGGAAGCCAGAAGAGGGCACTGAATTCCCTGGAACTGGAGTTATGGACAGTTGTTCACCTCCATGTGGGTGCTGGAAACTAAACCTGGGTCCTCTGCAAGTACCCTTAACTGCTGAACCATCTCAGCCCCCACCCCTTTTTTGCTAATAACCCAATACCACAGACTGGCTATGTTATAGAGAACTGAGTTTGATTTTGGCTCGGGGTTCTGGAGGAGCTGCATCTAGTGATGGCTTTCTTGCTGGCAGAGTCCTAAAGGGGTTCAGGGCATTACATGACAAGAAACAGGGAGTGTGCTGTATATAGGCATCTCTTCTGGCCTTTCTCCCACTTGCTTCTTATACAGCCACAAGTAATGCAACCAGGGATCTCCACCCTGATGATGTTATCTAATCCTAACCACTTTTCCAAAGTCCCATCTTGAAAGACCTCATAGTGGAGATCAAATTTTAACATGAAGAGCCATGAGGGACACTCAAACTATATCCAAACCAGAGGAGTGGTGCAAAGCAATTTGTCTTTAACCTCTGAGGGGTCATTGTGACAGCCTCCAGAGATCTGGACCTTAAGAAACTCTGCAAAAGTGATCAATTTCCTTGGGGTTTATGGCTTACACTCTGACATACATATGTCTCATTAAGGTATCTAAAGCACTTACTTCCTGTTCATCGGGTTCAAGCAACCTAATGTCTTTAACACAGTGGTCAAGGAGAGTTTATGTTCCATAAACAAGATGGTAAAGGTGAACCCTTGGACTTTGCCCATGCAAATTGGAATAGATTAAAAAAAAAAAGAAAAAATATTTGCTGTCTTAGTAGATGCATATGCACACCAGATGCCCAGCTCTGTGCTCATTTGCTGTGGTGGAGACAGAACAGCAGCTGTAAGTGGCATTGCTCTTGATTAAATTTAAGACAATTCGTAGTTACCAAGGTCCTTCTGCCATCTGTATAGGCCAAACAGGTGAAGTAAATGGGGATGCGATAGTGCCACCCCACCCCTGCATCTTCCACAGGTTTTATGGTGGTGCTGATGTCTGCATTCTTTAGGACTTCTATTAAGAGTAGCAAAAGGCTTCCTTTTTGGCCCATCCTACCACAATAGCCCTCACTTTGTATCAGAGAGGAAATGTGGGGATTCTGCTAGTTACTGGGTATGTATCTTCCACTTATATCCTGAAGTGTTGAGCAAATATAGCTGTATCTTGGGTCTGCAGGTTTCCTGGGACTACAGTGATTTATACCTTGGTCAAAATTCCATTAATCACATGAGTGCCATAAACTCTCAGTTTGATTGGCTAACCCATGGGTATTTTGTATTCTTTGGAACTAGAATGAATTTATAAAGTGTCTAATAATCCCTGAAATATCTGGGTTTCTCCTTTTTCCTAGTGCTAGGTCACCCTGGGAAATGACGTCAGGTTCCTTTGAGGAAGGCTTAGAGGAGGATTTGTAGTATATACTTGTGGCAACATTGGAGGGTCACCCTGAGTGGGACTAACTTCCCCTCACTCAAGGGGGTTCTGTGTCTGTGATCTGGCTTAGTATAGAGACTGGATGAGGAAGGATGACCTCATTATGATGGCATAAGCCAGGTTTCAGATGGCAGATCCAGGGGTTTGCCAACTATGAAAATCAAGGGCTAGTTCAGATGTCTTCCTATTTAATTCTTAGAGTCATCTAGGTTCCTGTCAGCCCTGTAGTGTTTAAACTTTTAAGTACTACTTTATCTCTGATACCCATGGCCATAAGTATGTTCAACCACAATGCATCTACCTGTGCCAGTTAAGTAGTGACGTTTGGCTACTGCCATCCCAGCATCCCTGAAATTGGGGAGCTAGCTCAGTGGAAGCATCTTCCCCCATCATCTCTAGTTGCTACAGAGTTTTTCTGCTGTTGCCCTCACAGATGTATTTTCTAGTGTCTTCATGTAAAGACTGTCACTGGGACACTCCAGGGGTTCATTTAATCTACTAAACAGTCACTTTCAATATATTAGCACATGAAGTCTAGGCTTGCTGGTAAGGCACTCATGTTAATTATTTTAGCTCTATTTTTTTTCTTTTTATTTGGTCCTTGGCAAGTTTTCACATCATCTCATCTGTGACAATACTATTTGTGTGTGTGTGTGTGTGTGTGTGTGTGCGTGTGTATATGTGTGCATGTGCTATGTGCTTGTACATGGGCACCAAGATGCTCTTGTGAAGGTTGGAGGACAGTTTTTGGAAGTCTGTTCTGTTCTTCCACTGTGTTTCTGAGGCTGGGTCTCTCTTGTTCCTTGCTGTGTCTTCTAGGCTAGCTGGCCCATAAACTTCTGGGCCTGTTCTCCTGTGTTTGCTTCTTATGCCAAATGAATGCTGGGATTACAGATGCAGGTCACCACAGTTGGCTTTTTACAAGGGGTCAATGGATTGAATTGAGGTCTTCAGGCTGTGTGCAAGCAATTTTACCCACAGAGCCATTCCCTGGTCATTTTCTGTTTTGAGATAGGTCTCATTGTAGCTCTGCCTGGACTCTATCTTGCTATGTAATCGAGGATGACCTTGAACTCCTGACCTCTGGAGTGCGTGCTTCATCATTTCCAGTTCATGACACTGCTCTTGACATTGAGTGGCTAACCTACACATGCAGATTGGAATGCACTGGTTCCGCTGTCATCCACAATGCATCTACAGAGTATGGCTTTTTGTTCTAGGAGAGTTGTGCTGTATTATTTATCTATTGAAATATAGTCATTATAAATCCCTTTCATTTTTCATTTATAATATAACTAGGGCATGATGTAGATCCTTTTAAGAAGATCTGTGTGAATAGATAATTTTATCTATTCATTTCATTTCAGGACAGTAAAGGAAATAATGTGTCTCGTAGGGTTGGGTTGTGATCTATTCTTTCCCCCTTCAAAGGATGGCCTTCAGAGGCCTGTGTGGTGGCACACACCTGTAATTCTGGAACTTGTGAGGCAGACTTAGGAGGACTGAGAGTTCAAAGCCAGACTGCAAGCAATATAGCAAGACAGTGTCTAGAAGTGAGGAAAAAAGGAGAGAGGAGATAGTGTGCAACTAGCCAGCCTCAAGAACTTATGCATATGCATATCTGTGACTGATGACCCAAAGCAGATCTTTGTGAATCTTCCAAATGACATCATTCGTTATCTCTCTTTGGAAATACAGTTATATTTAGCTAATGAATTCCCTGCCCTATTCAGTTTACTTACATGATATTGGTAAATAGTCTCACCAAATACTGGTGAAGAGTTACTTCATATATGCAACAATCTGCATTGTTTGAGAAGGGTTTGAGTACAATTATTGTTTTGGGGTATCTGTATCACTAGTAGCCAAGCAAGGGGAGCCAGGAGGGTGCTTCTTTAGTTCCTCTTTTCTTCATGCATTGAACCACGATCTCTAGGATGGATAAGATTAACTTTGGTATTTAGGGTTGTTTAGCTGGTTTACCGGCTAGAGTAGGTGGACAAGAAACGCAAGGATGCGAAACAGATGCTGTCATTCCCTTCTCTCATGAAATCTTTGGGAAGGCACTGAAAATGGGTAGGAAGAATCTACATTTGATTTGAGAATGATCAGTAGAGGAGTGTTTGATCTTGACCCAGCTGGGGCCTGTTGTTAACAGGGTCCTGAAGGTTTGCTCCATGGCCTGCCAGTATGCACCTGGGGCTGCCTGGGGCACTCCCTCTCCCACTTGCCTGCTTAGCTCTTCCTCCTGCTCTAGGTCTCAACTCCTGCCATCTCTCAGGGAAACTTTGCCTTCCCTGAGATCTTTGACAAGTGCCTCTACTCCTGATCTCTTCTCTCAGTTTGAAATTGCATTCAACAGCAGTGACTGTTTATGTGAGCGTCCTCTGAGAGTAGCTATCTCACCTGCTTATGCTGTTTTTCTTCATGCCTACCCACTGCTTGAATGAATAAATGTTCCAAGTACCAGCATTTACTATAGATTGTAATTACCTCTGGGTTAGTATCCCGTGTTGTTTTCTATCTGTTGGGAAGCATGGTAACTTCATATTTCATAGAAATAAGTCAGACAGGATGGTGGAAACCCTTGAGTCCCATTAATGCAGAATTTAGGACCACTATTCTTCTTTCTCCGTGTCACCCGCACTACCGAGACCCAAGTGTTTGAATTTAAAGGTGGTGTGTGGCTTCGCTGGTAGATGGAGGTGAAGAGGGCCGAGCCCCTGTCCTCCCACCTCCAAGAGAAACCCTTACTCTGCATTAACAAAGAGGTTGTCAGAACCCTGACTCCAAGCTCACGTGGCAGAATTTGGAGAGCTGGAGCAATCTGATGGGGGAAAAGGTTTAGGGAAAGGGGGTGTGACGCAGTCCCAGGGTGGATGGTGGCGCCTGAGTGACCACCGTTCTTGGCCCCTGGGGCGTGTCGGCGCGGGCTTGCACATCAGTCTCGTGCGCGTGGGTGAGAGCCCGGGGAAGGCTGGAGGGCCTCCCGCAGCGTCGGGGACAGGTGCCGGGCGACAAGCGGCGGGCCGGCGGCCTGCGAGGCGCTGCTGTGGGCGGCAGGAGGCAGCGTCGGCCCAGGCGGCGCGCGGCGAGCAGGCAGCGCGCGGTGATGTCAGTGGCGGCCCGGCTGGCAGCGGCCGGCACTTCCTGTATAAAGGCGGGCGGTCTGCTGCGAACCCCACGAGCCGGGCTCGGGCGCGAGCAGGCGGCGGCGGAGCAGGGGGAGGGCTGTCCCTTCGGCCCGCCATCCCTTCGGCTTTCCGGGTTCTCGGCGTGACATCCGCGGAGCGGGGCCCTGCATGCGTGTGCGCGCGGAAGAATGGCAGTGCTCAAACTCAGCGACCAGGTAGGGGGCGGCGGCGGGGCCGGGGCCGGGGCGCGGGCGGAGCAGAGCGCGTCCGCTTGATGTTTACGCGCGGCCGGGGAGGAGCGTGCGCGGCTGCCGGGCTCTGCAGCGCGCTGTCCCTGCGGGCCGCGGTCGGGCCGGGCCGGGGAGCCTCGGGCCGAGCTGCGCAGCGCGGGCGCCGCCAGCCTGTGGCTGCCCTGGGAGGCTGGTCCGCGCGGTCGGAGGAGGAAGGTGGACGCCGGGGAGAAAGGATGGCAGCCCGGGATCCCTCTCGAGCCTAGCGGGGCACCGGCCCAGACCCCGGCTGTCGTGCCATCGGGCTGTCTTTATCGGTTGTATGGGACATCCCGACTTCCTCTTTAGTCGCCCAGAGGCTGGGTATGGGGTGCGGGATGGGGGCCTTTAGAGACGCGGTCTCTGCTGGGATGCCCCTGTATCAGGTGAAGTCAGGTCCCAGGCAGCACTCGCGGGCTACTCTCTACCCGTGCCCATCAGCGTTGCTGCTTTCCTCGCTGAGACATCACACGGGCAGTTCTGGAGTCGGCTTGGAGCAGTGGGATTATTTGCTGAATCGGATTGACAGTCCTTGCTGCGTGGTAGGACCTGGACACTAAGAGAAGCCCAACCAAGTTGTGTGACACAACACCTCTTCGAAGCTCTTTGTGGAGGGGGCGGGGGGGGCGAGACTTGCTCCTCCCAGCCGGGGTTTATTCAACAACAATGTCATGAACATTGTTTTGGGGTCCTGATAAGCGCCGGTCTTGACTTTGATGTGTGAGGCCAAACACCACAGCCCAGGTAGATAAACACTTCAAACTTCTCAAGTGGGTGTATTTGGCGTCTTGTTACTTAGTATCCAGCCAGAAGGTCTGGTAATTTAAATGCAACCCATTACTGCAATGATCTGTTCTGCCCTTTTGGATTAAATTTCTTCAGCTTGTTTTCCTTAAGTATTTACAGACCCCCGCTCCTCCCTCCCTTCTCAGTGCAGAAATCACTGAGTTAAAACTCATTGTTAAATTTAGCAAGGAGAGCAGCTGGTAATTGTGATGAATCTACTTGCCCTTACTGGCTCCCCCGAAGCATTTAAAAGCACTTGTAAATTGATATTAGGATTTTCTCCATCCTTTGTTCACAAACTTGCCAACTGTTAGACATTTGCTTGTTTTCAGTCTTAGAGTTTTAGTGTGTGTCTCAGTGGTATCAACTTTGATGGTTGATACCACTGAGAATTTACTATACTTTGTAAATTCCTAATTTGGCAGAGTATAGAAAATGATTCTAGTAGTCATTGCTACTGCATATATTTACATGTAGAATTTTAATTGTAATGTTGCTAATGCTCTAGCCTGAATCCTTGTTTTCTAAGTAAAACTATCTGGAGAAGGGAAGCAAGTCTTTCCTAAGTACCTCAGATGTTGGCCCATGGAGCTGGGACTAACTCCCGTCTCCCACCTCCAGAATCTTCTAGCAGCCAAAAGCTAGAAACTCCAAGATATCTCCATCCCACCAGATATATTGAAAGGGGTAGATGAAGGAGCACTTTCCTAATCCAGTTCAACTCTGGTGAAAAGTGTATTATCACCGGGCTTAGAAACACAGGAAGTTATTCTCCAGCACTTATCAGAGTAGGCCTTTCAAAGATATTTGTCTTTGAAAATGTTTCTAAATACTCCCTCTTTGTTACCCCAGTCAGCTACAATTGCCACCAGGGAGAAAGATGTATTATCTTCATTTGACTCCATCTCTGGAATCACAGAAAGAGCCAAGGAGTTCTGTGACTCAAGAACACCTAAAAACCACCGGCCTATTTTGGTACAAAGCCAGAGGAAGACTGAGTGGGGAGGTGGTAGGGTGGGGTGGGGTGTAGTGGTTAGCAAAGATGGTTTCTGGGTTTCTTTAGGTCCAGGAAGTATGTTTTTTGCCTTATATAGTCTTTTTGTTTGAAACTCATTTCTTCGAAGTTGGTTCTTAACCTCATCTACTCATATTAGCAACAACTAAGCCCCTTCTAGAAGAGTTTTGCTCCATCACTAAGTGGGGAGCTGTCTGCTTGGAGTCCCTGCTGCATTCTGTAGTGGAACACCTTGCTGTCTACTCAGGGATGGTACAACCATCTCATTCTTATGCTTCCCTTGTCTGTTAAATTCCCCATCTGTATGGTGAATCTTGCCTTTTGTCATGGCTCCTTGAGCTTTGGTTTGAAGACACAGTCTTGCTCTTGATAACTTGAATCCTAAGTTGTATTGGTTTGCCTTTGGATGTAGTTGAAGTGAGGGTGATCACCGATGAATGTTGAGGGCTGGAACCTGTTGGGTGGTAGTGGTTGCCACCATGCAGTCAATCCTGCAGTGATCTCTAAGCCACGCAAGAGGACTGTCTTTTCCTAACTGTTTTAGAAAAGTAAAAAGTAAGGGGGAAGGGAGAGGCCACTGTGGTTTTTTGTCTTTCTACTATGAAAAGGAACTGGGAGCTATTGCTACAAACAAACAAGATTGACATTTAGCACTTCTGCATTTGAACTCTGTCCTGTTTTCATTTTTCTTACAGTGTTAGGGGGACCAACCATCTTAGTTTTCCCAGGACTGAGGGGTTTCCCAGTATGTGGTATGAAAGCTGGGAAACTTTGAAGCAACTGGAAGGAATTGGTTACCCTTAGTAACATTGTTATTCCACTATTTAATTTATAATTATTTCCTCATAGATGGACATTAAGATGCTTGTTTGTATCTTTGGAGAACTGAGATAGATGTAAGTTTGAAGGAGTTTTTATCATGTATGAATGCAATGTGTTTTAGCTTATGATAACTACATATCTTATTGCAATTTGATTTTATATTGAACATTTAGGGTGCATTCCTTATGTCACACAGAGTACTGTAGAGATTTAAGTATATGGTTATATTGTCAATGTGTCTCTTTCCCTCAGTTTTTTTCTTTTTTTTAAAGATATAAAACCAGGCTGGTGAGTCCTTGGGCAACATTCGAATGGTCTACTTTTCTGATACGAATTTGCTACTGATGGCAGAAAACCTGCTCCATCTCTGTGAAGAGTCTGGTAGACTAACTGCTTCAGCAGGTGGCTCTTTTGGAGCTTCCCGCCTGGAGGCCTTCTGGTTTAGTGTCTGCTAGCCAACTCCTAGCTCACACTTGAGTCACCTACCTGCTTGCCAAAGGCAGTGTGTGACAGCTGTGGCAGTGACCAGAGACTAGAAAGTCTTAGCATTGGAAGCAGGATTTCTGGCCCGGTGTGGGGCCTTGGGACATGCTTTTATTGTGCTGCCCTGTATTGGTATCCACCCCTCTATGCACTGGTCTGCAAGCAAAAGTTGTGTATGCTACAGGACAAAGAGGAAAAGACAACTTTTGGTCCCTTTTCTGGTTGTTTGTGACCCAGTGATATGGTTTTTGGAATGCATTTGAGGGCTGGTTATTTCATGGCTTGTGCCTAATAGTGGTTAAATTGATTGTGCTCTTATTGTGTGCTAGGCTCTTGCTGTGAATCATCGCTCTTAATCCTCATAGTCATACTAGGTGGTAGATGGTAGTGTGACTCCTACTTTATAGATGAGAAAACAGGACCAAGGAGGCTAATTGACTTGTTCAGGCCACACACCCAGTGAGTGATTGAGCACAGTGTCGTACCTGGCAGTCTTAATTGCACAGGTAGGGCTCTGATCACAAGACTATGGTTTTCATAGTTGAAACGGCAGCACAGGTGTATGACCCTGCTTTTAGTTATAGGAAGCTCTGGAGAAGCAGCATTATCCACACTCCTATGCTTGGGGTCAGACCCACCCTGCCAGAGTAAGGAATTGCTCCCAGGCCTCTGCTCCTGCTTGTTTTGTATCTGACCTGTCTCCTAACTGTGTCATCTCTGCAACCCAGTGAACGCAACCCAATGTTGGGACCTTGGTGATTCTTTTTCTTATTTATTTATTTTACAAACACAACTTGTAACCATCCTAGGAAATCAGAAAACTAGACAAGCAAAAAGAAAAATAATGAAGTCTTTGAGTCCTCAGTCTCTGTGCTCAGATATAGCTACCCATGACATCTTATTATGTTTCCTTTTAGGTTTCTGTTTATCCAGATACAGATTTTAAACTTCCTGTGTGATAATATCAGTATTTTTCACTTGTGTACATAGTGATATTATGTTCTCTAGACCAATGACTTCTAAGTAAAGTTATGCTTCTTTTAAATATATGACTGGCTGCTTCAGGGTAAATGAAGACAGCAGCACAGGGTCTAACCCTGAATAGACCGAGCCCACGTTCTGCAAAGAGCTCTTCCTGTACAAGGTTGATGACCAGAGGTTGATCCCAGGAACCCACATAAAAATGGGAGAAAAGAACAACTCCACAGAATTGTCCTCTGACCTCCACATGCACATGATGGCACCCACACCCACATATGTGTATACATATGTGTGCACACACACAAATAATTTAAAAACTGATATGATACTTTTGTTTACTCCAAAAGAAAAGTCAATATTGAAGCTAATAAAAAATGGGGCTGGGGTTGGGTACCTGGGAGGCAGAGGCATGTAGATCTCTGTGAGTTCTAGGCTAGCCTGGATTACATAGTGAGTTCCAGGCCAGCCAGGACTACATAGGGAAACCCTGTCTCAAAAAACCAACTAAACAAACAAAAAACCCAAAACAAACAAAACCAAAACATCATCACCACCAAAAAATGGGGTTGGTGAGATGGTTCAGTGGGTAAAGCTACTTGCCACCAACCCTGAGGACCTGAATTCAATCTCTGGGACCCACATAGTGGGAGGAGAGGACTGACTCCTGCAAGTGGTCCTCTGACCTTCACTCATGCTGTGGTACATGTGTGCCTAAACCACCACATATTTAACAAATGAATAAAATGTAATCAAGAAAAAAATTAAAATTTTTTCGATTTATTTTTATTCTATGTGTCTGAGTGTTATGCCTGCATGTATGTAAGTACACCTGTGTTGTGTAGTACCTGTGGAGGACAGA